TGGGAACCACATCAAAATGGAAGCTATTCAGACCAAAGCGATCATCTGTTTCTAAGCAACTTTTATTGTGTAATCATGTTGCTTAGCAATAGAGACTGTAATACAGCATAACAGAACACGCAGTGGAATGCAAAATACAGGAGAATGAAGGACACTGCATAGTACTTAATTTAGAGGCTGATCAGAGCTGCACATTTTATACCAACACACTTTTTTTCTGATGTTTTGTACAGGATTGTTGATGCATTGGACAGGATGTTTTGAACATTCTTTTCGGGGTTTATCTGTTTTAATGATTATTTCCTGGTTCTCCTCCCCAAACTACAGAATAGCAAATAAATTGAAAGCAGATGAGTAAAACAATTACAGCTGCAGTGTTTATGTAAGCTAGGAACTGATGTTTAATATTTGGCAGCACTTTGCCATCTCCTGCACAGCATAAACACTTGACTGTCCCCTTAGGAGTAAGGAATTTGATAAATATCTGACTCATCATAAGCAGTATGTTAAAATACAGGGAGAGGCGATAGTTATGGTGATAGTTACAGTTTAGAACACTAAAATGGCCTACACAAGGCAATAAACTCCTCTCTTTCAGTTGTGCTGCTCCTTGCAGAATATTAACTGCCTGCATAGGACACACAGTTAGGATGAAAAATGCCAAGACTGAATCAGAAGGACAGCCTTAGAGATTTTCAATAGCTGCAAGCTACCACTCACTAAACTCAAGTGATTCTCATTACTACTAAACCAATTCAAGTTATTTTCTCAGAATGAACTATTAAACCAGTCAAATGAAGACATGAACACACTCACCAGTTCTGGTGGTTGCATGTCATCACAGGCATCCACATGACACTGCATCATCTCCCAGGCACAACACAACATGAAGAAAAGAGGAAATCAATCCAAAGTAAGTCCATCTCAAGGAAGCTTACAAGTAACTTTACATTGCAAGTAAACACATACATACACAGAGAATATTTTAACACCATATCTATTACAGATACTCAAAAGTAACTAATAGAGATCAGTGAGATTTGTTTTTACTTTCATTGTATGGGTACTCTCACTGATCACATTAACTTCTCCCCTCTTTCTGTGAACAGATTTTTCTCTTGCAAAGAGTGTCAGACAGAATAGTAGGGCAAAGTTTGAATGTATTTTTCCCCCCAAAGATCTTTAATTGATAGGAAAGTACTGTTTACCAAAAAGAAGGAAGTAGCAAGTACTCTTTCAAGTAGGAAGGACATGGCTTATCACATTTTCTTAGTTCATTTCCATATACCTCATGTAGCCCCAAACTAGCTAGCAATCTATATATAATTACATTAACAATCTACAATGTACATTAAAAAATAGCTTTTTTCACAATTCTAAAATAAGTGCTGAAGATAAGTTAGCAGACAATTGTAAAAATACAATTTGTAGAATCCACTTTAGAGTTACTATTAAGGCAATCCTTGGCAGGATTAAGCAAGAATAGCAAACTAAAGCTAGCTAGTACTCTACAGTCTCATTTATACTAGGCTAGGCACTAAAACGGAAGCCAATGCTAAGCAGAGCAACAAGCATAGCATTAACAAGAATTATATTAACTTTTGTATCTAATGAATCTTGTAGACTAGTTCCTCAAAAAAGATGTAAAGTTAAAACAAGAGTAAAGTTTTATTAATTTCTTCCAGTACTTAAACTGATAAATACTAGTTACTTTTTCCATTACCAATTTCCTACATGCTTTTTAATGTCCAAGCTCTGATGTAAGTACATTCTATACTCTTTATGTACATATCTGTTGAAAGTGTTTTTAGAGATGCATATATGTGCTCATATATGTATAAATACATTAGGGGAATCAAGAACTGGGAAGTATTTTAATAAACACTTTGAATATATACTCTAAAAGTAATTTACTTCTCTATTCAGTTAAAAAAATACATTGGAAACACTAGAAATTAGCCAGTTTGATTAAATAAATCAAGCTTTTTTTTTTTGGTTCCATATCTGTGCATTATGGTCGGTAAACACTCAAAGTTGTTTAGAAACAGCAAGACACACACAGTCAAGCTTTCTCATCTATCAGAACATCCTTTATCAGAATGTGCACAAGAATTTCATCTGGTTTTGTTACAGCCTGAAACATATAGTTCTGTAGTAGAGAAACAACACCATGTTTCTCCTTTAGGAAACACCTTCACAAATTATAAACCAGGCAAACTCCTAACACTAGTAGTGCTCAGACTAAGACACAGTTATCTTATTATGCAGTGTCATTATATTGACACAGTGAAGCTGACTTTAATTGAAATGGTTTTCTTCTCCCATCTTAAAATTTGTAAGGCTTTCAATATTGTCCTATCTCAGAAATTCCATGAGATTCAACATTCAGCATCTGGTCTTGTACTGAATCTTTCTGCCTCTAGTGGAAAGGAGACACTAGCAGAAAGCAAAGATTTCTGCACATTCAACATCTAAGACCTCAATCTTCGTCTGAACAAAAGATCTTGTCCCTTTAATACACTTTCATAAAACACTGTTCCTGTTCTTTGAATACAGCCTTTCCCACAGATAGGAGGTTCTGGTACAGAGTGTTTTCTGTATGAACCTTATTTTTCTAGCATCACACTTTCACACTCACAATCTGCATGAGAACTTCTCATCCACTTATACAATTAAGGATACGGGGATTACAGCTAAACTAAAGCTAGATATTAAATATAATATATGCTGGGAAGCAGTCCTCATTTTGAGTAGGCTATGAAACTCTGGTGCAACACACATCCAAAGCTATGAGCAATGCACTCTGTAGTGAGGAAAAAAAAATGCTTACTGGAACATAGCCAATTTTCTATAATTATACTTACTTGTAGAAACTCATGTCAAGAAAGCCAAGATCATCCCGATAAATCAGGTTAGACAAAGTCTGAAAGGACTGCAATTTTAAGTCTTTCAGTATTTCTGACAGTATTTCTGATGACTCAATTTTGATTCTCCTGTAATACCAACTTTCAGCAATTTTTCCTCTCAGATAGAGGCAAACTGTAAAACTTGTTTAGATACTTCCACTTCACAGCTACTCTCCATCCCTTCTCTTCCATCTATTCCAAATTTTACCATGTCTCATCTGTCACTTAAAAGTACCAAACAGAATGAGAGAAGAAAGAAACATTGCTACCCCAAATTTTTAACTCCTTAATGACTTATTTCAGGGCAAAAGGAATCTACCTAGTAAAACAGCAGATGACCACTGGAAAAAATGCATTTCAGAGTATACAATGGAAAAATATCTTTAAAATCTTTAAGCCTCTTTAAGCATTCATATCTTACGAAAACCATGTACTCAGCAGTATTTAGCATTGGCATCACTGAATACATCTAATTCATCACCTTATCAGTGGCTCTGCCTCCAAAACTTTTGTAATCACTGTAGATTTTGCAAACATCAAAATCAGCAAAAGAGGCAAGAATTGGTTTGAAAAAGCAGTAATTTGCCGAACCAACTGGATAAAAGTTTTCTAACAGATGCATTAAGAATGCTTGCCTGAATTAAAAAGCTATTTTGTTAGCAGAGTTTAGAAATACTGTTTGGATTTATTTTCCTGACATGAAAAACCTACCGATTCCTACTTTTGTATCAATAAAACAACAACCTGCAAACCTAAAATATCAGTGCAGTTAAATATGCAGGGTATAGTCTAATTTTCTAACCAGCCTAACCATTGCTGATGGTTAGGAGGAAAAGAGACACTGGAGCAGATACCCTTTACACCCTGTATGTCTCTTCACACTGCAAACATTCCTCAGCAGGA